TTTAGTGAATTCTGCTTTATCGGCGGAAATAAGAACGATATCAGACTATCAATTTCGACGGTGTTGACTTTAAAATGCAATTCCCAAAGCTTTTTTGAGACCATCAAACATGTCGGTCACAGCTGATAATCTTTGTCGTGACGTAACACGTGAACCACAGTCGTCTCCGCGCGCTCTCTTGTGCTGCTCTTTTTCGGCGCCTAGGTAGTGCTAGGGAGTTTTCGCTTCTTTAATGAAAAACGTTACGACCATAAACGAACCTGCAGGTTTGTGAGAAGAGAAAACATCACAGCAATATTTCGGTTCTTACCCCCACTACGTCATAAGACAAAGAATATTTTAGCTTCACGAGTTTAGAGACCCAGGACGAATTCATTTTTGAGCGTGTGCCGGGCTGACACCCTGACCGCGGGGCGCGCGCTTGAGTCCTCTACGGGAGCCAGAGTTGCGCGTTCAACCCCGTAGAGCTGTCTTTCCTGCACGGCATGTTGATCCTGCTCCTCACGTGATTGAATTCGGCAAATAACGGCGCCGCGCGTTCGAGGCGCGCGGCGCGTTCAAAAGCAGGGGTATGTACGGCGGGGCGCGTGCAACGTCTACTTTCCTGCACGGCCCTTGATCCGGCTCCTCACATGATCGTATCTCGGCGAATAGCGGCGCGGCGGCACGTGGAAAACAGACGCAACCCTGGCTCCCGTAGGGAGCCTATACAGGAACTCTACTTTATACGGCAAAGTAGCGCCATCCTTTGAAGGATGCCGCCTGCTACCTTGGCCCGATCCAGGCGGCACTACAGTCGATGCGCGAGTGTAAAAAAGCAAACATGAAGATAAAAGGTGTGCGTGTCAGAGGAGGAGATAGAAGGAATGCCTATGCTGTCAGAGTGCAGTGCATGCTATGAGCTCATGCCGTCAATCAAATAACGCCGACAGTGCAACGTCACGGCTTTCATCGTCTTTCTTTGAGCCCTTCCTTTGAGGCTGGTAGGCCGTGAAAGTGCACTTTTAACCTGTGTGTGTGTATTTGCGCGGGCGTATCTTTCAGTCTTTGACTGCGCTCTGACTCAAGTGTAGGAAGGCCGTCTGCTATCTTGGCCCGATCCAGGCGGCACTACAGTCGATGCGCGGGTGTAAAAAAAAATGAAAGCCGCTTACAACTCCCTGTAACGCCGAATTAGAGCGCAGCTCTTGAGGAGGAGGAGGGAAGGGTACTGGGGGGGGGGGGGGTTAAACTAACCAGGGGGGGGTCACGTTACCTTGGGGGTCACGTGACCCCCAATGCCGATGATGTCATCACTGACGTCACTGATGACGTCATCAGTGACGATGACGATGCGGGTACCGATGACGTCATTAGTGACGTCACTGATGACTTCACCAGTGATGATGACGATGACGATGCGAATGTCGGTGACGTCATCAGTGACGTCGCTGATGACGTCATCAGTGATGATGACGATGACGATGCGGATGCCGGTGACGACATCAGTGACGTCACTGATGACGTCATCAGTGATGATGACGATGACAATGCGGATGTCGGTGACGTCATCAGTGATGATGACGATGACGATGTGGATGCCGGTGACGTCATCAGTGATGATGACGATGACGATGTGGATGCCGGTGACGTCATCAGTGATGATGACGATGACGATGTGGATGCCGGTGACGTCATCAGTGATGATGACGATGACGATGTGGATGCCGGTGACGTCATCAGTGATGATGACGATGACGATGTGGATGCCGGTGACGTCATCAGTGATGATGACGATGACGATGTGGATGCCGGTGACGTCATCAGTGATGATGACGATGACGATGCGGATGCCGGTGACGTCATCAGTGATGACGATGACGACGTGGATGCCGGTGACGTCATCAGTGGTGATGACGATGACGATGTGGATGCCGGTGACGTCATCGGTGATGATGACGATGGCGATGTGGATGCCGGTGACGTCATCAGTGATGATGACGATGACGATGTGGATGCCGGTGACGTCATCAGTGATGATGACGATGACGATGTGGATGCCGGTGACGTCATCAGTGATGATGACGATGACGATGCGGATGCCGGTGACGTCATCAGTGATGACGATGACGATGTGGATGCCGGTGACGTCATCAGTGATGATGACGATGACGATGTGGATGCCGGTGACGTCATCAGTGATGATGACGATGACGATGTGGATGCCGGTGACGTCATCAGTGACGATGACGTCATCGGGGGGTCACGCGACATCGGCGGGGGTCACGTGACCTCGAGGAGGGGGCCACGTGACCTCAGGGGAGTCACGTGACTTCGGGGGGTCACGTGACCCCCCACGAGGTCACGTGACCTTGGTGGGGGGCTCGCGCGGTGCATTATGGGACATTTCCCATGATGCACCACGCGGTTACGCCGACGCCGACGCCGACGGCGACGCCGCTCAAGCCGGAAACGGGCCCCTAAGAGCTGCGCTCTAAAAAGCAAAAGATAAAGATAAAAGGTGTGCGCGTCAGAGGAGGAGAGAGAAGATGTCGGCTGCCTTTCTTATTCAGGGTCGTTAATCACAACTAGAGTTCCTGTATAGGCTCCCTACGGGAGCCAGAGTTGCGCGTTCATCCCCGTAGCGCCGTCTTTCCTGCATGGCATGTTGATCCAGCTGCTCACGTGACTGAATTCGGCGAATAGTGGCGCCGCGCGTTCGAGGCGCCGCATCCACTATACTTTGTTTCAGCTTCGGTCTGAGCGCGGCCGATGTTATGAGCCAAGGGGCCAATCAAACAGCAAAAGAGGCACAACGTCAAGGTGTTCTCTCTGTAGTTGATAGGACCAGCCGGTACTCGCCGTCTCTCTGTGCACTGCTCCTCCGCCGGCTATAGACCATTCCATTTAGCGCTCTCTGGGCGGCACCATTTTGTTCGACAGCAGCGCCCTCTCCATACATCCGGGAAATTCAGCGGGTTCGGCGGGGTAAAACGAGAGGGAGGCCACGTGCCTGACTCCGCTAGCAGACGACAAACCGGGAGGTTGCCTTTCTCCATCTTTGGGCTGTATCGGCGGGCTCTACCGAACATCGAACTCTCGCTCGTGGCTGCCGTTGTGAAGTGGTTCGCGTTCTTAGAATAGTTGTGGCTACCGCAAAATCATCCGTAGATCTCTGTTGTTCTATTTCTGTAAATGATCAACTAGCATATCTTTTTTCCGTTACTTAAATAGCAGTTGAGTCAGCCGGCAGTACTACCCTCAACTACTGCGTGTATTGCGGCAGGAGAGCACGTTTTTATTTATATTTCCAACTTCCACTCATGGTCGCTAAAGGCCTACACCAGTACGAACTTTGTATAGTAAAAAAGGTCCAGCAACCGGATTTACTTTTCACCAGAGAGACCGACCAATCTGACACAGTTTTCCCCATTTTTTTTTTATTATTTGCACGCAGGTAACAGCGCAATTGGACCCTGTGTGTCTTTTTATCTAGCATAGTATTACACGACAACTGGCATACCAAAATCTGCGCATCTGCGCTTAAACGTTCCAAAATGACGCGATTTTAAACACAGTTTGCACGCCAGCCGGACGCTACCTACAGCCCACTCGGCGGAGCGGACGGCATGCGGGGTGAGAGGGGGAGTGCATTTTTTTTTCTCTTTTACCCTCTCTGCTATGACCCTAATGGACGGTCTATAGTCAAGCGCAGAGAGCACGCCATGACGCTGCGCATTTTGCGCTGTTTGGTTGGCCCTTTGGCTCATAACATCGGCCGCGCTCGGACCGAAGCTGATGCGAAGTATATTGGCCCTCTCTTCCCCCCCCCCCCTTATCTTTATTCACAACGCTTACGCACACACAAAAGCCGGGGAACCTACGGCAGGGCGCGCGCAACGTCTACTTCCTCGCACGGCACTTGATCCAGCTCCTCACGTGATCGGATCTCGGCGAATAGCGGCGCGGCGGCACGTGGAAAACAGACGCGCAACTCTGGCTCTATTAATCGAACGGGACGCCAGCGCCGCCTGTCGGAAGCGCGATAAAATGGAGCCCCCGCCTCCCGGGAGTTTCCTAACTGCCCTAACCTAAAAGCGTTGATCTTAGAACACAGAGATGGCGGAAGGAAAGCAAGCAGAGTATGTGATGACTTTTTTTGTTCGCTTAATTTTTGCGTGTGTTAACGATAAGAAAGAATGAATCATGCCGCTACCAGGATATATACGAAACGTTTGAGCCGGCGCGAGCGTACACCCGAACAGCCTCCCAATTCCCCTGGTTGCAAGGTCTCCTGGGATTTTCTGGAAATGTATATTGCAAGCATGGCACACTGACTCGTGCCTCATGAATTCAAGCACGTGGAACGTGCGCGCGGCGGACGTATAGCTTTGTCAAGCTTGCAAATGGACGGGCTTGTCGCTACGAGTAAAGACGTGGCGGCGGCAATAGACGCTTTACACATGCGCCAAATTACAGCCGCCGTTGCTGACCTTCTCTTGTCTTACCGAGATGCCAAGCAACTGAAACGGTAGTTGACGATTCTCTACATAGACCGATGCTTTAGAAAAGGACACAGTTGAATCTAATATGACAATAACCTGGCCTGATATGGTAATGATTAAGTGAAATAAACGGAATAAGAGGAAACAAAAACTGAAGGTCAGTTATGGCGGCGTCCATGCACAGCTGCTGCAAAGCGTCTATAGCTGTGATCTGGATGATCGCCGTAGAACAGCAGTACGAGGTTGACTCTACGATAGGTAATTAATATTAATTTTGTTAAATACATGCGATAAAAGAGCCTCATATTATACTTCCACGAAAAAAAGCTGAAAGTAAGCACCTTGATTTTGAAGCCGATCGTCCAGGGGCTAGGGAGCGCAATTCTCACACCCCGGTACCACCATCGATGTAAGTTGCCAAATCCTCTTCGTGTGTTTTCTCGCATTAATGAAAGAGCAATATAGTAAGTGAATGAATGACTACTAGTCCTTATATGTATTTTTTTGTCTTTTCAGGTCGGCTATAGTTACAATAAATTCTTCTGTTGGGGGTGGCATCACCGCTCTAATTTTCAGGTAGGCACCGCCAATTATGTGGTTGTCTCTGGTTGTCCCCGTCTCCCACGCCTAAATGCTGATTCAGATGGTGAGATTTTTCTCGCGATTTCAAGATTGCGACGTCACTCGGGCAGCAAAAAATGTCTCGTGGAGGCTGCGGGGCTCAACGCTACAGCTACGAAATCGCGCGAGGATAGCACCATGCTAAAACAGGCTTTAGGCTATCTTCATCACGGAGATGGATGTGCTTATGGCTTGCACGTGAGGTCACTGCACCATGCTGGGGGATCATTCCTACTCCCTGCCGAGAAAAACAAATCTGGCAGTGCGACGAAACACGTGCTATAGAAGGTACAGTACGCGCTCAACAGCAAGGCCGCCGATACGACCACTGATGGGACGTCATTGCAAAGCAAACATGACTTGCCCTGACGTCGCATCAGCGACCTTTCCGCCTAGAGCGTAGCTTCTGTATCGTACATTTCGCACCCCGAGTTTGTATTTTTAAAGCAAGGATAAGTCAGAACATAGCCTCCTCTATACTGACAAAGCCTGGCAGATCGCCAGGAGACGCGGCCGCCTAAAGTGAAGGGTTTCGTTTCGACCCCATTCCCAATTCGAACTTTCATTTTGTACCTTCCCGTTTCGACCCGGCTCAAAACGACCTTCTCGTTTCATCCTTTCCCATTTCGCCCTATCCCGAAGCAACCTTCCCGCTTCAGCCATCGTACGTTATAAGTTGGGTCGGTTCGTTTGTAATGTTCGTTATCACTTCATTAGGTTCAAGTGTCCAATGTGTGTCCTCATTGTAGACCTCACTTCTCCCTCTCCCGAGACAACCTTGGAGACATGGCACCGTAAGATAAACGCTCACCCGAGCATTTACAGCTTCATAGATTTGATCAAACGGGTTGAGGCTTTAAAAAGTGTATCTTTGCAGCAGCGTGCAAGTAGTGGTGCCGTGGGGGCTAGGGAGCACAAGTGGGTCAGCAAGGATTGCGAACTATCAGCACTGGTGTGTCGCCTTTCTGATGGCACGATTTCCCTATTCGACTTTCTCAACAAGGCGGAGACATTTTCTAGTCTATGGTGTTTTCCTGTGTGCGCGAGTGTTTAGTGTTTGAAATTGTGAAAGAAAATATGGTCGCAATCACCTGTCACCCTGTCTGACTTATCGCTCTCCAAAATATCAAGAAAACTAATTTGAGGTTTTAGAATAGCGTACGCAAGCACTTTGAGTATACTAAAAATAGCGTCGCGATGGCGACGCTAATTGTAGCTTACCCAATGTGCTTGTGTACGCAAGAAGTCATTATTGTACGTAGCGCGAACAAGCCATTGGCGGTGTTGCTGTATACCTCATAGAATTAAAAGGCTGCCATAAAAACTATTTTGGTCTTTGGAAGTGCTTATCTGAGCCAGAACACGCCCTAAAAATTGGTGCCTGCAAATACCATTTGGAAGTGAAATTTAAAAAAAAGCGACAAGGTCGTCTTTGCAGTAACAGTGTCCCACCGTGTACAAAAACCGTTTCGCGGTTGCACGTTATGGGGATCCATCTTGAAATGAAAAAATAAACAAAAATACTTTAATTTGTTTAAGTAAGAATAATATATTACTTTGACGCTTTCCTGAAAGGGGTGCATATTTTTAAAATGCATTGGCATGAAATAATATTTCAGAACATATATTCTTAAGCAGATGAGGTGCGCAGACCAGGACTAGAACGATTAGACTTTTCGCGAAGAGGTTGTGATGCACAGGGTCTTACACAAATGGGTTGAAAATAGACGGGTTCAAACGCAAAATGTCTTCCTGGTATCGGTTGAAACGGAACGGGATAAAATGAGAAGGGGGTTTCGGGAATGGGACGAAACGGGGAGGGTTCAGACGGGAATGTCCTTTCGAGAATGGGTCGAAACAGGGACAGGTTCAAACGAGAAGGTCGACTCGGGAATGGGTCGAAATGGAACGGGTTCAAACGGGAATGGCCCTTTAGGGATACAACCGAAGTGAAAAAGTAGAGCGGCAGAGAAGAGACACGTAACGGGCGCCCCGCTGCGGCTAGACGCCGAAACAAGCTTTCACAAGTCCCGAGCGATGGAATGTCCGCTCGTGCTTCTCGCGTTCCTCGGGCTACCGCTTCTTTTCTTGTCAGGTTCGAAAACCATGTTTTATGTCCTCGCCACTGCAAAAGCTGTGCGCTGAATACCATGACTCCCCAAGAAATGTGCTGTGCTACCAGATCCTCGTTCTCGAAATCTGCGACCGGGCACTCTATGGCTCCGTTGTCGAACTGCCAGGCTTTGTGAGTATAGTGGGAGGCTATGGTCAGAAGGAGCACCATAATATCGCGATGAAGTCCCATGCAAGTCATGTGTAAAGCGCGAAACTCTCATGAATATCACCACGGAAAAATATTCGCTTTAATTCACTGAGAAAAATAGATTTCGTTCGAAATACAACCGCTTTTGCGCGGGAGGAGGGAGGAGCTTGTCCATGCTTTTCTTAACCTGCAATGGGGTATAGACCTTTTCACCCCCGTCGGATGGGCGTTGACATCTTGGAATCACGTGACACGGTCGCCAAAAGGTCGCTTCACACCGTCACCCTTCTCTAACTTCCGCGCCTTGGCGAAGGCATTGTGTTCGTGTTTTTCGTCGCGTTTTATCGAGCTTTCTTGCCTTGCCTTGTAAACTGTAGTCTAACAGTTTTTTTTTACTACCTTACTGCATGCCATCATTATGTGCAAAACATCTGTACTTGATTTTATAAATGTTGCTAAAGTTGAAGCCCGGGCGAGTTGGTATGACATACTTTAAAGGTTAAAACAGCTAAAAAAACGAAGTAATCACAAAACCAAGCGAAAACGACATAACACACCAACACAGCCGCGAGCCCGCTGAATCTGATCCCAACCAAATTGAACCCAACTTATGGCGCCACGTGTGTCAGCGTCCTCTCTCCAGCGGTCAGGTAACTACGGAGATGAAAAAAGTATATCACTGGGCAAGGATTCCACATATAAAAACCTAAGTTATTAAAGATTTCCGCTGTAGCGCAGGCGATTTCTACTTTAGATGCCCACTTAACGCCTGCAAAATGCCCGCGCAGCCTACGCCATCTCAACAGAGAATTCTTAGGGGAAAGATTCGAACTCACTGAAAAAAGGCATATCGGGATGATCTCAAATCTAAACGATCTTTCACGGTCATTCAAAAATAAGACATTCAATTTTTACTGAGAGTGTGATCAAGGTCCAGCCACTGGCCGCTTCTCCAACAAAAGTCGGTTTACCTGCAAGTTCGGTTACTCGGAGCCAACTAAAAAACGCATGGTGGGCTCTTGCTCTCACCTGTGCTTTGACGGGATGTAGAAAGTCTGGGACCATGGCCTCTTCAAATCTTGCTCGTGCATAACATTCAAGAGAGGCTCTTTGTCTTCCTACTCTGGCGCGGTACAGAGGCGCGTGTTCTAATCTTTCGCGTCCCGTCATTTCGAACAGTTAGGATCTTGTGCGCCTTAACGCTTCAATCATATTAAGCCGCTTTGTCGTCTAATTAAATAAACCTTTAAAAGGACACTCGAGTGGACTTTGAAATCATTTATTTATGGTAATGAAGTAGTCTACGGGCTCCAATCATCCTAAAAAAACAAAAATTACACCCATGCGCGGCCGATTGCCCTATTCAAAATATAGTGAAAGATCGCCACACGCCCCTCTCTCTGCACCACAGAGCAGACACCTAAAGACGCCGTCAGACGGCGTTTTAAAATAATATTCGCTGTATTATGCCTTCTACACCCCAAAAATATGACTTTTTTCTAAAAATATATTGCAACGCGGCCCAAAACAGAGAAATATTAGTAATGTTTTAAATCTCCAGGCAAATAACAATTTTATTGTTCAAATTGTATGAACGTAATAAGGACCCAACAATGCACCCCCCCCCGCCCCCCCCCCCCCCCCCTATTTCTAAGAGAAAATAGTACCCTTGTATTTCTGCTGCCGTGGGTTTACTAGGACTTCTTTCCATCTAGGACTGCTCATTTTTAATTACTAAAACCCAGCAAACAACATGCCATCAAACACAGCTCTGTGAAAAAGCAGTTGAGGGCCCCTTTAAGTCTGTGACGTAGAAAGTAACGTTTTTAGTCTCTTCACCTCATAAACTGGTCCTCCTGTGTCCCACAGCGCATGTGCAGCAAATAAAGCCCCAACCAAATATTGTTTCATGTTTTCCTTAGCTCAAAACAAAAAGAGACGAATTTTCTAGAGGCGCCACTTTATATGTTGATATCTCAAGTACTAAATATACGGCAGCAGTGTCGAAGAGAAACCAGGGAGGTCCAAAAAAGAGCACATGTTATAGGGTAACGGTTTGCAGACTACGTGCGTACTGTGCCGCTGTAACAGAAGTGAGGTCGACTCATACTAGTATGGTAATCATTGCGAGACGTTACCTTGGAGAAACCAATTCCATATTTATTACTGCTATAAAATTGTGTTGGATTCGACTTTTGCGCATCATGGTTTTAAAAGCGCACAAAAGACGAGGACAGAGCAAGAAACACAAACGACGGACGTCGTCTGTGTTTCTTACCCTGTCCTCGTCTTTTGTGCGCTTTTAAAACCATGATGAATAACTACCAGCTAGCCCAACTTTCCACCCCACTGGAGTTTTGCGCACTTCACCCACACACCTGTAAAGCTGCTATATTAACACGTGAGCCAGAAGCACATTTGACCTTGGCTAATTCCAAATTAGAAGAGGCCTTTTTTGTGTTAGGCAAGGCTTTTAACGTATTTTTATAAATCAGGGTGTTTACGTAATAATAATTGGGGTTGTGTGGATATTCATACAGCGTGTAGTTGGTCAAAGGTGTTCACGTAGTCGTGGCTGCTACCTACTTTCGCCGAATGCAGCTCATTGATTGGGTACGAGTAATGTTGCTTCGCTTGGTTTGGGCTCGGGTACTATCCATGCCTGGAAGGATATTTGTATTTGCGGCCTCTAAGAAAGCCCGGAGCGCAACTAGTAGCATCCGCATAGACTGATCGCACTAAGCGTTCGGCCATAGCCTCCTCTATACTGGTAAAGCCTGGCAGGTTGCCACGAGACGCGGCCGCCGAAATTGAAAAGGTAGAGCGGCAGGCAACAGATGAGAGGAGAGCAATGTGACGGGCACCCCGCTGCGGCGAGACGCCGAAACGCATTTCTCCCGAGCGATAGGATGTCCGCTCGTGGTCCTCGCGTTCTTCGCTCTACCGCATCTTTTCTCGACGGATTTGAAAACCATGTTTAGGGTCCTCGCCGCTGCAAAAGCTGCGCGCTGGCGACCAGGTTACCCTAGAGTTCCTGTATCGGCTCCCTACGGGAGCCAGAGTTGCGCGTTCATCTCCGTAGCGCCGTCTTTTCTGCACGGCATGTTGATCCCGCTCGTCACGTGTCTGAATTCGGCGAATAGCAGTACCGCGCGTTCAAGGCGCGCGGCGCGCTCAAAAGCCGGGCAACGTACGCCGGGGCCCGTACAACGTCTACTTTCCTGCACGGCAGTTGATCCGGCTCCTCAAGTGATCGGATCCCGGCGAATAGCGGCGCGGCGGCACGTGAAAAACAGACGCAACTCTGGCCCCCGTTGGGAGCCTATACAGGAACTCTAGGTTCCCCGAGAAATGCTCTGTCTTACCAGGTTCTCGCGCTCCAAATCTGCCACCGGACACACTATGGCTCCGTTGTCGAACCGCCAGGCTTTGTGAGTGTAGAGGAGGCTATGGTTCGGCGCATGCATGACGCCGCAATAAGTTTAGTTCACAGCAGGCAGACGGCAGTGAACGAGATCGCTCGTGCGATCTCGTGCTCTACACGCGCAGTGCTCCAGCAAGGTTGTCGCACGTACTGAAAGAGCGGTGGCGTAGTCCGACTGGCTGGTGAAATCGGCCTATTAAAATCCCAGCTCGGGGATACACTGACCGGTACCACTTTCAGCGCTCATTATTGGAACATGGTTATTCAGGGTGAGGAAGACTCGAAGGCTAAACATGGCTCGCCTTGTTACAATTTCTTCTGCAGCTGGTAGTGCATGACGAGAAGAAATTTCGCTCGTTCGACGCACCCTAGGTAAGAAGTCCTTGATACCGGATTTTACTACATCAGCTACCGAAGGCCAACTTGGGACAGAAATATGACACAGTGTTGCATCAACGTTTGGTTGAAACTTGTGCTTAATCAGTGAGGACATGATTTCCAGTTGAGCAATGATGTAGTATTAGTGTCCAATAAATTTCAGCGACACGCTCCTCCGTTACATAAAGTGAGTTACAAGAAACTGCCAAGACTCTTTCATATATAATATATTCTGTGTTACAAAACGTTTAATGGCGTTTAGGAAACGCCTGGACATCGTTCCATGTCGCCTTTAAAGTGCTGTCTTCGCATGAGATTTTTACAATAACAAACGATGCGTTGCGCAGTAACGAAAGACACCTACAAGATAAAATTTGCAAACTTGCGCGGTGTAACGCGAGCTGAGCAAAAATATGTATAATCTCAAACTAGATAATCCTTATAATATTCCTTCGATTTCAGTTACGCCGTTCACCATCGGAAGTTCTCCGTAATTAAGCTCATCAACGGGATCCTGGCATCCTTGGTGGCCATCACGGGTGAGTCGAGATTGCAGCAGCGAGGCGAGTCTTGGTTTACACACGACGTCGTACGTTCGCCACAAAACGGATCAAAGAGGAGCTGCAGAGTCCAATAAAGAACTGCCTGGAGTAGCAATTTCCTCAAGTCTCAACAGTGAAAGGGAACAAACTAAAAATGGTTCGATGGCGCTAAGGAAAACAAGGCTGAGTAGGAGACCCTTCGCCCCTCTCCCGTTTTCTGCTTTATATGGTGTAATCTGGCGGAATATAATATAGATTCGAAGCAGCCTTACCAGCTCCCAAATAACTTTTCTGCGAGTCAGGTTCTCGCAAAAAACAAGCTTTCGTTGGAACAAGCTATTTTTAAGTTTATAATAAAATCAATAGAAACAAAATTCTTAGACAAAATCGTATGGATCGGTTTAATTCTTGCTAAAAATCTTGTATCATTGTCGCTATTTGTGTCACGCAACATCGGTCAGGAACAATGCAGCCATTATACTAGTAACCTTTCTTCAGATAAGATAGCAACATACAAAATGCTCCTTGTTCGTCTGTGAGGCGATATGTGGCGTCCGGCTATGCCTTCAATTTCGCACCGATTGTGCAGTGCGCAAGAGAGAACAAGTCGTCACCAGTTTTATTTTTGTTTAAAAACTACAAGTACTTAAATGCGTTCAGGGGGATGCTAAAAAAGGCCCTAAGATTTAGTTTTCAGGACTGTCATGGTTGAACATTAAGACAGAAAAAGGCCGATGTTGTGTTTACGCTAACTGTGGATCGCAGGGCACAGTCGGATATAGTTCATAAAGTCTACAAGCGCCTGAAATCACCTTATATAACTCTGCAAAGTTAATTACAAAAGATACGTATGTCCAAAGTTACCAAAGTATACCATAAGTTCTCGTGACAAAGTATTGCCCCGAACCGTTTCGCCTATCACGCCCTCAATTCGAGGGGCTCAGCGTCACGTCACAACCGCCACCAGCTGGCGTCACAAAACGATGTTGGCCTCCTTTCCTTGTATATGTCTTGTTTACGTGCACTTTAACCGTAGTGAGACCTTCGGGGCCGACTATACTTTGTTTCATCCGAAGTACAGACGCAGCCGACGCTACGAGCTGTTTATAGATCAGTGGGCAAACGCGGACTTGTCTCTAAAGGGCACGTTGGTGTATTTCACAAGAGAATATACTCGAAAACCCACTATGTGGCCTTTCTTTCTTTGAAGCTGGATGTGCCTTGTACCACCCCTGGGAAGCTGTCGTGGTGGGTTCGGTGGGCTCGCTGCTCGCCAACGTGGCCATGCCCCTCCTGGACAGACTACGGGTCGACGACCCCGTGGGGGCCATCGCTGTGCACGGGGTCAGCTCGGTCTGGGGTATGCTGGCCGTCGGACTCTTCGTCGAGATGGACACGCTGCTCCGACTGAGCAGAGGTGGCACGGGGCTGTTCCGCGGGGGAGGCTGGTACCTCCTAGGAGTTCAGGCCCTCGCCGTGCTCATCATATCCATCTGGAGCTGCGTAGCCACCTTCATCATCCTCTGGGTGGGTGATGAAACTACCGTCGAGCGTGCCTACGTAGACAAGCTATAGAATATGACTTTTAGCACGAACCAGTGATGGCAGTGTTTATATATATATATATATATATATATATATATATATATATATATATATATATATATATATATATAGCCACTTCAAAAACTTAACTCCTTTACTTAGACGTTTCGACCCGAGACGGGGAAGACCCGTGTCAGGTCGAAACGTCTAAGTAAAGAGTTAGGTTTTTGAAGTGGCTCTTTATTCTATATATCAGTGTGTCGAACCGAAAAAATACGTGTTCGGTTACGGTTCAGGTTCAGGTAAATTTATTTTGTTCCGGTTCAGTTCCGGTTCGATTAATTCGATCCGCGAACCGGTTCGGGGCGCTGAACCAGTTCCCGAACCGGTTCGGAAATTATAAATGACAAATTGCAACATCAAAATAAATTACAAATAAAACATCTGAAATCAGCACATACGAAACGGGATACATCGTAGTGTAAGGCTCAGGGATTTCTACCAGGAATGGTTTCTTTATGTGCACTCAAAGGTTACATCACCAACGTTTACGCATTCGGACTTCATCTAATTGGGTCCGACGCAGTAGCTGTAAAATCTGCGACATCCTTACAAACCCACTTACAAGTAGAACTCGCTAACTATCCCGCCACCTCGGCGTGTATGCAATTGAAGGAACAGTGGGGTGAAAATACAGCTTTCTTTATTTGAACTAGCCTTCGGTAACTCAAATTAGACTCTTAAAGAAGTTTTCATTAAACAAGATACGGAATATGAAAAACACTTCACGGAACGCAACGCCAGAAGGACGTAATAGGATAAATATTAAAATAGAAGAGTTCGCTGTCTCACAAATATGTTAGCTTCTAGGTGCCTATACGAAACCGGATGCATTATTATCAAACTCCACAGCCTTTTCTTTTCTCATTCCGATGGAAGCAAGCTTCAAGAACTCGCGCGTTCTAGAAACGTGTTATGCAATGAGCACACAGCAGCATTTAGGATTTACGAGATTGTAGGAAAATGAAATCCCGTTACGCGATTTTTTTTTTTTTTGCACAGCCTTTTAATTTTCTTTTTTCCGTGCAAGCCGCGACCAGCGCAATACTGGTTTCTATGTCAAGATTCATGGATGCAGCGTTTGTCAAGATTCATGGATGCAGCGTTTATATTCCCAAGACTGAGTGGAGAAGAAAAATATGTAAGCGAGGTGTGTGTCAGTTGACGGCGCTTAGAAAACAAATGGCATTGTTAGCACATTCATTGTCAACAGCGCGTGGCCGAACCGTTTTGACATGAGCCTGTAACCGTTATTTTTTTTCCGGTTCAGTTCCGGTTCGGGTTCATCGCGATAACAATATAACGGTTCGGGTTCGGGTTCAGTTCCGGAAAAAATACCTGTTCGGTTCCGGTGTTCGGTTCGGTTCGGTTCCGGTTCGACACCCTGCTATATATATATATATATTTTGTCTCAGAATTAGAGGGCTGCTATCAAACTTGTGTCTCAAGGCTGGAAGAGCTTGGTTGGGGCACCAATCTAAGCAGAAAACTTTGGTGCCTGTCAATATACTGTCAGAGTAAAATAAAAGACGAGTGTCGATGTCAGGTTCGTGCTAGTAGTGTAGAGCAGGGGTCTCCAAATTTTGAGGCTAAGGGGAAGGATTATGTGTCTGCCGCGGCGTCGGGAACCAGAAAATAAGCAAGTAAATATAATTTATAAATCAAAATCCCGCAATAAATATACCTAGAAATGAATATAACTACAGAAAGTCGAAGTGAAGTAAAAGAATATAATAATCCAAGGTGTCTAATAAAAAGTCTTGATGCACTTAACAAGATTTATGAGTAATACAAATGAACACACTGCGCATATATATATAGAAAGAAAAAGTATAATTTATTATTTAGCTAATGACGACATCGTACAATAACTGTAGCCTAGAAAATTCTCCAGGTATGAGTCAAAGCGAATATGAACGTTGGCATATTCGCACAGAGGAGAGTGCGAATGAGAATGCTAGGGCTGGTGTTGGCAATACGCGATACGCATGACACAGGGCACTAAGCGGTGTTGTACACGTTCCTCAAAAAAAGGAACGTGAGCTCGTTCCTTGTTCCTTCTGATTTCGGAACGCGTTCCCGTTACAAGTTTCATACGTAAAAAAGGAACTCGTTTCCACTGCAATTCAAAAATTGGAGCCTATCGTTACATATACGTTACATTTGTATTTTGCTAAGTAATGTTTAGTTAGATCGAGCAAAGCTTTTTTTTTTATCTACCCCATCAAAGTAAGCAGTCATCACGTTGTTCTTCATTTTGTACATGTATCACTGTATTACTTGATTACTGTTATGTAACTTGTATTACCGCTTTTCAAATTTAGCATTTATATTGTGTTCTTTTAAGTATTATATAATTTCGTGTATATGTATTATTTACAACTGCTGTGTGACTGTAGGAGGCTGAGGACGCTTTTTTATTGATGTAGCAAAGGCGTTCGATACAGTGAGCCACAGCATTTTACTAACGAAATTGCAAAACATTGGATTCCGCGGCACATTCTTTTCTCTTCTCCGGAACCTTTTAACTGGGAGGACACAACTAGTTTCTATAGGTAATAGTCGAAGCTCCCTAGTTAGTTTAAAGGCTGGGGTTCCCCAAGGTTCTGTTTTGTCACCTCTTCTTTTTAACATATTTGTAAATGATGTGTCCAACTCAGTTTCAACATGTAAATTGTTCCAATATGTGGATGACACAGTGTTGCTTTCGAAACATCTTAATTATCCTGTAGCAATCGCTTTACTCCAACAGCACACTTGTCAACTTCATGACTGGTTTAAGACAGATTGTTTTACGATAAATACATCTAAAACTTAGCTTGTCTGCTTTCGTAATCCTCTTAAGATGTTAACGCCCAATCATCCTACATATATGCATACCTCTCTCTGTACATCTTGTAACTGTTGTCCCATATGTTATGTAGATCAAGTTAAATATTTAGGAATTCAATTTGAAAGTGATTTGTCGTGAAATTCCCATCTGTCGAAACTTTGTAAACGAGTGAGAAGTGTATCTTGTTTACTGTATAATATCAGGTCTTTAATTCCTTATACAACGAGAAAGACAATAGCTCACGCTTTGGCATACAGTGTTTTGTGTTACGGAATAACTATTTTTGGTCACAGCCCAGGACGAGAGGGACAAAAAATTGACTCAGTCTTAAAAGGAATATTTAAAAGCATTGTTTATGGTTCCATATCGCAAGCTAAAGAAGAGATCATAGCAGTCTTGGGCTTGCCATTGTTCCACTCTTTATTGGTTCAAATCGTTGTATTGAAACACTTCTGGTGTGACAATTTCGAAGTACCCCATGTCGAAACCTAGCTAGATTGCTTCGGCACACCGAGCGCTATGAAATGCCTTTTGTTGTGACAAAATACGGAAGAAAAATTTGGAATTTCTATGTTTCCTATATATTTAGAGCCTAAAGGACGATGTTTACACTGTGGACTCACTAAAAAAACTGAAGCAAGTGCTCCGAAGTAATAGTGCAACTCTTTGACTGTGCTGTGTATGTGTATGTATTTGTATTGTGATGTATGCATCGTTTATATTGTGATGTATGTTGTGCATGTGCATGTGTTTGCATTGTGATCTGCATCGTTTATATTGCGATGTATGTTGAGCTTGGAACTTTACGTGTGTGTGTGGGGGGGGGGGGGGGGGGGCGCTTTTATCACGAACTGTAGGGTCTATTCCAACAAGCCTCTTGTGTTGCTTTGACAGACCCGCCTCGATATCAAGTGAACTGCACGCGTAAATAAACATTTATTATTGTTATTATTATTATTATTATTATTATTATTATTATTATTATTATTATTATCATTATTATTATTATTATTATTATTACTATTATTATTATTATTAAATGGCATCATTCCAATTTGAATGCCGTGATGGAAGAGCACCAGGGGAAGAAAACAAGCGGAAGCAGGGTTTCATTTGTTGATATATTCACTTTTAAAAGTCTAAGCTTTTAACCATATTGGTGTTTGTGGTGGCCGATTCAGACGAGCCAAATCTGCTGTTACCCTACATTGCACGAGCGTTTTGCAACAACCTCACACGTTTGAATCTAACAAAGTTCTTTGTTCGAACATAACAACTGTTGCTTCTCGGTGTTTCTGTCCACCAAACCAGCAAGCGAAGAAGAGGGTAGGGCTTTTTGGAAGGTCAGTCTTGAAAACTACAAGTCCTTTACAAAAATTGGGTTCCTTGTCTAGTTTGAAGGTGGGGGACAAGGGAAAATGAATAAAGGTTAATTTTCTGTATCTTCTATGTGACCAATGCTCGGGGGACAAGGTAGCGGTCGACGTCTGGTAGCCTGTTTTTTTGTTGTAACTTAGGTTTTTTCGTGGAAGTTCAGTGATGGCTGTAGTCGGCTCTACATTACTAGGTGTATGAGGATTCGTGAAAGCAAAGAAAGTAGCCGAGTTTAAAACGTCCCCATTTTTTTGCCTTTTCCTTCTATTAAAAGTTTTGCTTTTTCCGAAGGTTCTGGACACTGAAAAAAGAATCAATGCCCACTAGCTCCCCTGCACCCGACTGTTACCAAGCGAGAACCACACAAAATAAACCCTAAGATAAGCAACCAAAAAGTTAAGGTAATCCAGCTCTTCGTAAAGATATTGTTATTATACTTTCATAATTCGGCCACTCGAAAATTAAGTAAAAATTACCCCACTGGATGAAAAAAGGAACGCCGTTCCTTTTTCCGTTCCAGTAAAGATGTAACGAGCTCCCGTTCCAGTTCCACCGGGGCAGAGTGGAACGGTGGTGTTCCTTCGTTCCCCCTAAAAGGAACGTGTTCTATACTTCGTTTCAGCTTCGATCCAGACGCAGCCGATGCTACAGGCGCGAGCATGTGGCCCAGAACAGTGCTTGCACTGCACGAGCGCGCGTGCTTGGCAGGGATGCTGAAAGCCCGGAGCTCGCGCTTGTAGCTTTGGCTGCGTCTGGACCGAAGCTGAAACGAAGTATAGGAACGCCGTTCCGTACAACACTTGCACCAAGCCCAATATACATAAGAACACAAATTACTTTTAACGCATACAGACATGAAAAAAACAGGGGACGAAGAATGGAGGTGGTGGCAATGTGCAATAATGATGGCACATAACTGTCAGCGGGACAAGAATCAGCACGCGTAGAAAGCGTTGGGTGAGAGTTGACACGCCGCTCCCTAACATGCATCTATTTTCGCGTCGTTAGCAGCAGGCCTGCTGGAAATCTGCCGCGGCCGGTTTCCAGCAGGGAAGGCCTCCTGGGCCGAATCTGGCCTCGGGCCGGGGTTTAGAGACGTCTGGTGTAGATTAGTGTATACCCCTTTGTGGAAAAAGAAGTGTGTATCGCTAATGGTGGAACAGCATAAAGGCGCAAATGCTGAACTTTTGTTTATAGATCAGTGTTAGCTGACACAAAAATGTAGGTGGTACGTTTTTAGTTCATCCATTTGTAATCCTATGTTGCAATCCATATACATCCTCAGATCATATATGGGACTGATCCTGCATGCAAGAGAAAGCTTAGGAACTACCATCACTGAAATGATGGCATGGTGATGATATTCCTCAAATGCACATTTGACTAAACGCGCTCTCTAGATATAGACTAGCGCCCATTTATCAGGTTCATTGTACAAAGGTCGAAATGTTGACATGGTACCCTGCCCGCAGGTGATTAACCACATCGTACCAATCCGAATGTCCCCGGATGAGGAGCGAGTTGGCGCCGACTTCGTAGAGCATGGCATCCAGTACTTCCAGAACCCGGAACCTGTTATGCCTTCCACCGGGGTGGCTACCATCGACAATGGCAAGATGGCCATCAGGATGAGGCGCACTCTCGTGGCACCGAGTCAAGCCCGTGATGACGCACTGCCGCAACCAAGAGCTTCTAGCTCGACCCAGACTGAAGTTATGCCCAACGGACACGTTCTCTTAGCGCGATCTTTAATCACAGGCCGGCAAATGGAAAGGCCGGCTCCCAGGGCGGCCTGGTCTGGAACAGATGCAACATAGGCCTAGAAGACACAGTGGCATACAAATGTGCGAAGTAACCTGAAGAAAGCAATCGGAACTCGGAACAGCCACAACGAGAGGCTGAAATGATGAACGAAAAACTCGCCCTGTAGTAATACGAGCTTTAAACTAAAAACGTGGCTCGTTGTGATCTCGCGAAAGGATAGACGAGAGACGGATGGAAAAGTGAGTGATATTTCAGACTTAATGTATACTGTGGTCGTACCCAAAGAGTGTGCGGGTGATCATCTGAGTTCAACTGTGAGTGTGTGGGTGATCATGCACAACATGGTGTCTACACTGCAGTGAGGAGTCAGTTCCGCACATCCTCTCTCCACTCCGCCTGCACACGGTCCCCCAGTACCGGTTCTCCACCGGAGTCGTCTCACGATTGATGCGCTATAGTGTTATTTGTTATGGCCAGCTTCCCCTACAGAAAGCCCTACGGTCATGGGCTCCAGTTACTTGAGTCTGTGTATGGGGATTATCGAATTCACATAAGTCTAGCTAGGATGAACACTTAATTTTGGCTGGCAAAGATGTTCTTTTCGTTTGATATTTTTTTAGTTTAGAGGCATGGCAATTATTAAGTAATCATTGGAATTATGGTCAATGACACGTTAAGAACCGAGAAGATGCTACGCCTCTAGCGCAAGCTTTCTGCCTTTGGTAACACCTCGTCGCACGCGCAGCCAAAGTCAGACGTAAAGCAACAAACACGTGCTGGAGGCAGAGCTTTTACTAGGTTCTTAAACTGTCACCGGCTATAGTATACTTCCAAATATGCACATCAGTTTATGAGGTACACACAAGAGTTACGTGACCAGCTCGATTGTCTCCATCCAGCATTCATTCTTTCCCCTGTCTTCGTAGCCTAATCTCATATACCTCATTTCACCTTATGTCTGAGTGTGGCCATACTTGCGAATCAGCAGTCAGTCCAGGGTCTGTTGCGCCGCAGTACTCCGTCCGTCAATTGTGTGCTTGTTTAAACTAGATCACTCAGGCTCTCTGAAAGTGTATGACGTGGTGCCTTCCTTCAGGGTGCATGTGTTGTTATTGTACCTCTAGCCTTTGATTACAGTGTGACTGAAGGAAGTTACTGCCTAAGCTACACTCAGTCTTTAAAAATTTTGACAGAGTAGGTAGAGGGTGATCTGGAGAAAGAGTCAATTAAGTGCCAGTTTTTCCGTGTATAAAGAGTACCAATCAAGCTTAAGCACCGAAGGAACGATGCAATAGGTGGATCATTTGGAATTTCGCATGGTGTTTACTGACGATAAGTGTTCTTTAAGCTATGAAAGAAGGTTTCGATAACGCTAAGAATCAACAAAGAATAATCAAACTCTGCTATTTCACAAAATAAACATGCAGATTCAAACACATCTGTGTTATCTCTTCACTTACCATTTGCAACTAATTAAATGCTGAGACACGAAGAAACACAAAAAAATAGGAGAGGTCAACAATTTGAAAACATTGCAGTTGTGTGAGTTACATGAAAATGGAATAAGTGGGATGATGACATAACCGAGAAAGAGAAAGTTCATTGGCCGAAAGGGAAAGTTCATTGGTAAAACGCGAAGATGTTACCTTGCGTATATTTGCGGGCTGCTTACTTTGCATAATAAAAGGAAGAGGATTGAATATATGTAAAAAAAATAAAAAAATTAACTGAAAAAAAAAGAAAATAATGGAGTTTAGCAGCATGTCCCGAGTACCTTTGACGGGTTCTTTTTATAGGACCAGTGACCTAGTTGGTCTGCCTCCTTTAAATACTGTTGTTTATATTCGAAGTAAAAGAAGAAAAACGAGTGATGTTTATAGGAAACTCAATGTATCTTGTTTTAAGTAGAGTGTGTAGTGGAAAAAGATATTCTCGGTTGCTTCTACTGCACATTTCAGCTTTTGAAGCGAGGCGACTCTAGCGGATCTATGTTATCCTTGCTATCTAGGTAGTATTGTAACAGATGACGAGTGATGAAGCAATGAACAATTGAGAAAGCTAGAGGTTTTATGTGTTGAGCCTGTGTCAAAACAAACTATAATTTGTGTCGTAGTAATCGATGTTGGCGTAACGGCAGGATCTAGCGCTATATTCAGTTGCAGGGTAAACAAGCAGGACAAGGTTCTTCCGCAAGGCTCTTTCCACTTTAGCAGAGCGAGAGCTGTAGACGAGATCATTGGAGTCAAATTTTCTCTCGCCTTCTCTCCAGCGCTCGCTTTGCTAATGTGAGAAGAGTGGAGGGTTTCGCGGCAGGAGCTTGTCCTGTCTTTCTTAACCTGTAAGAGAGATGCCTTGATGCATCGCGCTAAGGCTGGTTTTATGCACATTCTTATGCTTACAGAGGTTTTAAACAGGAACATATATTAACTTACGAGAAAGCACTGGAAACCTTCAGAAACGCAACGAATGGTGAAATGAAAAACATGTGCGTGGTGTACGTCTTTTCTAGTTTTCTTTTATTATTTATTTATTTTTTTATTATCCAAGAGTGAAGGGACGTCAGGGGCGGGAAGCAATGCGGACGACTGGCAACCAAGTACGTTCTTATCTAGCAGCAAGGTGAACTTGTAAACAAGCGCATCCGTGCTATCTAAAGTTTTTAATAGCGTCAATGCTTAAAGAGAAACTATTTTTATAGCTTTCCTTAACCCTTTGCAGTGTCTTAATCTAAGTTGTGATCGTACTTGTAAGGTAATCCGTTACAGTTTTCTTTTAGCATATAAAAAAAAAACTCTGACATTGTTATTAAGATAGACACGAACATTGAACGTAATATAAAGCATTATGCGTCCCGCGTTGCCTTAAAAACACACACACACACACACACACACACACACACACGCACACACACACACACACGCACACGCACGCACGCACGCACACACACACACACACACACACACACACACGCGCGCGCGCGCGCGCGCGCGCTTTGTTGTCATATTTGGATTCGTTAATCGTTTTTTGAAGTAAGAACAGCATTTCTTAATTTATACATGATGTGAACATATTCTAAACTCGCCTGATTAAAGAGAGGAGTAGTTTACTTATTTTATTAAAAAAAAAACACTAACAAGTCCAAAGTACATTAATATCAATGAACAATTACGGCAAGAAATATGCCAATACAGAATGAACAAAGTAAAAAAAAAAAGGAGAAGAATGCTAAAGCAATTATTTATCTAAATGTCTAAAAACGTATTAAAGGGCCCGCAGTTCATCATCTGACGTGACAATTCTCTGAGTGACAGAAATAACACACAAATTTCAGCGCTGACTTTTTTTTTAACAAACACAACATTCTATGTTACCTGAAGTCTCCAAAATATTTCGAAGTGCCTGGATCAAACACGTATGTCACAAAAAAAAAAAATAAAGAGGAAGACGTTTACAAATATTTGTAATGCGAATTTAGAGCGCAGCTCTTGAGGTGTTTTGATTTCGCAATAAACCATGCTAAAGAATTTGAGGAAGGAATATCTATATGTACAAGTATAGACCTCGTACTGCTGCGTGCATAGTATAACATATATACAGGGTGTTTCACAGAACTCAGGTCAAACCGCTCCTGCAAAAACTACTTATCACAACGAAAAAAGGCTTGTGGCGTTTTGGTCCTGGGCCAGGGGCCCATATAATAAAATATTAAAGTCTCGGATAATTAACTTATTAATTATTTTCGCGTAATTTTTTTAATATTGTGTTTAAGGGCATGGTTTAAATTAGAAAATTGCTCAGCATCATCGAAAAGCACTAAACCAACAAACTGCAGAACGATAGAAAGCACGCTAAGCATTTTACGGCTTTCTGAAAAACCGCACAAATTCGATGGGTTTTTAAGTTTCGGTTTTTTATCGGAACGCATCTCCGCCCCGACGGCACCGCGTCCCGCCGAAGAGATAGTGCAACCAACCTCTGCTGCGCTGCAATAATTTGTGAATTTGACTCTAAAACGTGTTTACTTGACGTGTTTCGAACCATTTTCTGAAAAAAACATGTTAGTGTTTCAAATATGTTCATTACATTTTGTAAATGTTTCATAGGACATATTTAAAAAAAATCTTTACTACATGGATGCTTTCGTTGTGAAATCGACTGCTGTGCAAAGACCATGGTAATACCTTCGCAATCTCCACGCCGCTAGTTTCGAAATTTATTGTCCTCTGAAGGGAAATTACGCACAACACTCACACATGGCTGAATGTTCTTAAAAACATAGCTTTCAGGTATATTTATGATCTGACACGGAAACACCCAATACGAGTTCAGCAGCGCTTGAAACGTACGGAGAAAGGATGAGCCACTATCTAGCAAACCTAATTTGAAAACAAAAAGGATCTCGTTAAAGGGAAACTAAAGTGGTTCTGTATATGTGGAAAAACAGTTCAATCGTCTTTGTTTGGCTTCCGAAATCACAAATGTCTTTTTTTTTTAATTTGGTGCAGGGGAAGTTACGGAAAATTATTTTCAAAGTATTGCTGAAGCCCCTCCTTCTCGAAGCGTGACATTATATCTAGAGTTTTCAGAATCTCTGCTTTCGCGCCTCTTTGAGCGCCTTTCAAAGCTGTGGACGCGCACTCTTGCTATTTTAAAAAGGGTAAGAAAAAGACGTCACGCTGGTGTTAGTGCGGGGAAATAATCGCGACTTCAGCGACCTATAGGAGATGTCACTATTGGGCAAATATGGCAGCCTAAAACATGTCGTGCCGTGCCATGTGCCAGCTCAACGCACAGCGCTGAGGCATCAACAGGCAAGTATTGGGCTCAAAATAGTTTGCCCCGATATTTTACCTCCACGTTTCGAACCTGCGGCGATCTGTTGGGGTAAGCAAGCTTCCAGAGGCTTGACTTCCTTCGAGGAAGTGATGAAAGAACTGCCTATTGTCCTTTTACGGTGCTGATGAACGTTGATAAACACAGGATGTCAGGTTCACGCGGTTACGTAGGTTGCGTTCAGAGCAACCTTGATAACAAGCTGATACGACAGTTACGA